CACAATCTCTCATTTAACAAAGAAGGTTGGAGGTGATCACAGAGATCATCTAGCCAAACTCCTCGAACTGAAGGAACTGTGATGTAGGAAGCAGCTACAGCATCCCTACAAGACAGCTGTCCAATCTTTACAGAAGTACCTGCCCTGAAGGAAAGCTTTCTATGGCAAACTATTTCAGTTGAACAGCTCTTACTCTCAAGGTGCTTCTCTTAATGTTTAGCCCAGATTTCCTTCCTTGTCAAGGCTAAAGTCACAATTAGAGCAGACCCATTCGATCAGAGGAACTTACATAGATGTTGACTCACCAAGTCCTCACTGATTCAATGGGCCTCCCTTAGTTGTGACTTACTACTGGAATTCTTCGAATGACATTTTTAAAAATCCCAAATTCAGGCATGTTACTGAATGCATGTGTTAGCATGATCTTGCTCACTGGATACCCCTCCTCCTGTGCCTGCATGAATTCCAGTCATCTCCCTGCCAGTTGAACTGTGGCTGTCAGGATGTAAGGCTGTGTGTTTTAAAATTCTAAACTACCATTTTTAAAACTGTAGTTTTGCACTTGCTGAAAAACAGTCCTGATAATTGCTTTGTAAGTGGTTAACTGATGAAAAAAGAACTCAGTTTCTGGGATTTTTCACTGTGTGGTGTCATTTTGTGAACCATAGTGAACACAAGAGGGTATCCTCTAGACCATCTTGATTGCTGCCATTGGTTTTGTCAACATTCAGGCTGCCCTTGCCATACTTTTTCACCTGGGCATTACACTGTGAAGACATATTTGAGCCATTTCCTGGTTTTTTGACTCATGGGTACAAAAGCACAATAACCCAGAATCATAAACCAGAGGATTTTTTTAAAAGAATGAACAACTTCCAATTTGCCATTTCATTGAGGAGGAGCTTGCCCTTGAAGGCTGTTTGTTGAACAGTGTTTGGTTTCAGTTTCAGTAATGGAGCCTGTAATGTTCTCCCACTGGTTTCTGGAGATTGCCAGTGGTCCACTTTGATGGAGACTTTGTTCATCCTTTTTCTAGCATACAAAGTCAACACACTATGACCAAAGCAAACGAAACAGCCAAGCGTATCAATATTTAGTCTGGGACAAAACGCCCAGTTCTGCTTCCCTTCCATCAGCCTCATTCCCCCTTTAAATACTGAATAAATTTGTTCAGAAATGGTATTTATTTATCCAGGAGCATTTGCTTCCACTATCTGAGATCCAGTTGAATGCTGGCAGAGCAAGAATCTCACTGGCATACTTGCACAGGATCTTGACTCAATCAAGAAGGGCACAATCAGCTTGGAAACACACTGTTCTGGCATGGAGAGAACTACCTGGGAGCTTCCAGAATCCCCCTTGGATCAATTAGTGACCATCTTGGCTTGGAGGGTGAAGCTGTGCCTGGGTACCCTAGTGGCATTTAAGCCAGCTTGGTGTGCCTCTCAAGGGTAACAACAGAACTGTAAGATACATCCCTGCAAAACTTGGAAAAAGTGCAATTGTTTGCACAACTGGGATTCATGCAAGTGTACCAACATTTGTAGATCCAAGCCATTATATTTAGAGGCGAAGCCCCAAATAACTTTTCAGAATATACAGTCCTATTGTACTGCATACTCTGTCATGCAAAACAATGACAACAACAAAGGAAAGGAGGGAATGCATCTAAATAATGAACTTAAAAACAAGCTGGCACAACCATTAATTGGAAAATATGCACTATTTTACTGTCATCAGTAAAAGTAGCTATTTGTCTGAGGTTTATACACCATGCATTTAAAGGGGCTTTCAGACCATTAGGGACATTATTGAATATAAGTGCTACCCTGTAATGCTTCTAGGTGATAATTTACGAGGTTTTCTGTGCCAGCGATCAGGCCCTGAAGGGCATGTTAATCCCAGTAGAGTTGATTCATACTTCAAAGGTGAATAAAGTGGGTCTCCTTCATGCAGTTTTACTTTGTGGGGAACTTTCCGGTAAGACTTTGAAAACGGATGGCTTCTCTGTGTTGTGAAAAAGATAAAGGACTTGACTATGTGACAGGGAGCCTCTCAAATGTAGAGCAATCTTTTCTCCCTCTCTTATTTTTTTCCAAACTTTTTACCTTGAAAGCAAGTGTGGTGTGATAGATCAACTGCTGGATACAGACCACTGCCTCACTCATGCTTTCAAATGATGGGATTCAGAGGGAAGGGTCCACTGATTGTATTGCAACTTCCATGTCTTTAGTGGGTGGTGTATGTAGAGAGCTATATGCTCACAGTTGTGTGTGATGGCATTGTAAAGACAGTCTGGAAGCTGTGACAATGCAAGGTCCCTCATTGCAGAGGAGGCTGTATATGTGGAGTATGTTGTGAAAACACAGGGGTTGACCCTGTCAAATCAGTTATTACATTTAGCACATCACTGAAAGAAAAAAAACATAGTATTTCTGCCATGCAGGTCACTTCGAGCATCAGGTCTGAACAATTGGAATACAAATTAATCCATGGCTAATCGTAAAGCAAAACAAGCTTTGTAGGCTAGCTGCAGGACATAAGAAAACCATGATAGTCCCTTCTCCTATTGAGCTCTCCTTAGCCCCTCATTCAGCCCTCAGTGAATGTAACTTCCAAGAGATCAGTCCTGTATCTGCAGCACAACAATAATATTACAGTCTTTGGAAGGAAATTGGAAAGATATCTTTAAGAGTAATTAGTTTCAGTTATAGTTCCAAGCAGTGCTGAGATGTTATTTGTTACCAATATCAACCAGAATCCAATTAGTGTTGTCACACACTTTGAGTAATTTACCATGGCTAATTGTAGCTAACTGATGCGGTGCTGGAGTGATTTTTGATTAAGCAGTCAGAGGTGTGACCAAGATGCACTCCAGGACCCACTATGAGCTGCACACACTGTATGAGTTGCAGTTTCTTCATAGACACCAGTAGTTCTTCTACATTATAACAATTCGTTTGTGGATCCCCCTATGTCCAATAAGAAAGTTATCTCAATGAGTTTCACTGTAAATACACTGTTTTACTATAAGCTGACCAATTTGCTGTTACATATAGAAAGTGAGTGCATTTTACTCTGGTATAATGTGTGTTATCTGCCATCCCTGATGTTACTACATATTTGAATTCTTAATATGCAAACTGTCTCTTGGGTTTTCCTGGTTTTCCAGCCGCATGTCAAAACAGTAGCATTTTCTCCAGCTGCCTATTTTTTTGTGTTCAATTACACACTAAGAAACGAAAACAAAAACATGCAAAGATGATTGCAATGATGTACTGCTGTGAAAAATCTGAATGGCACATTCTTTAGAATGCTTAGTCTAGATGGGCAGAAACACCACTTGAGGATGCTAGCTTAAAATACATATTCCCTCTCATTCACACGGAGCAACCTGTTGTTGGCTACTCTATGCATTCTTCTGCTATGCCATGAAGGAGGAGAAAGAGGAAGCTTTTTATTTCCTCCTCCTCCAGACATATTGAATCAGTGCCGCCTTGGTGCTTGAAAAAACAAGCTTTGCTTCCTCTCTCTCTCCCCTTCTGCAGTGGGAGGAAGCTTTCAATTTCCTAATATCATCAAGAGGCTTAGACAGAGGGACAATTTAAGTTATCTGTTTTGTTTGAATCCCAGCAATCACACACACTGGAACTGAACCAAAATAGAGTCATCCTATTTGCACCAAAAGACCATTAGCCTCTGACAGGGACCCAGAAAGGTATGGGAAGACAAAGAAGGCGGGGGGGGGGGGGTTGGTTTGCGATGGCCCATACATCTTGTAAACGTGAGAAAAGAAACAAGCCAGACCGTCCCCAGAGCAGACCAACTTTGGACAAATCCCCATCTGATCATACCACGAAGCTGTTCAAAGGTGTAATTAATCTGAACATTTAGTTAAATCAGAGCAGATAAACAGGGAAAAAAATCCATACAATGAAGGCACAATAAAAAAAAAGAAATAAGAGGAGAATAAATGAATTTCAGGCAGAATATAATGTAATGATTAAATGAAAAGTTTAATGTAACTCAACTTGGATTAGCATATCAGACAAAACGACAACGTGCAAAATCAGCCACAGTTAGTGCTTGAAAAAAACACTACATTTGCCCCTAATCTTCCATCAACCCTTGAGTTAAAACTTACATTGTTTCCAGCTGTTTGGCAATCTTTGGCCTAAAACTGAAGTGGGGGAGAGAGACAGCTGTCTATTTGAAGGAACTGTCTCCCGAAGACTCAAAGGTATGTGGAAGAGAATTGGCCCAGGAAGATTCAGGTATGAAAATTAGAAGAAAAATGTAAAATAAAGGAATGCAATCTGAGCATCAGTGGGGAATGTGTATGTCTGTGTGCTGAAGGAATAAAAATGAAAGGAGGAAATAAGGGAATTTTAGGAAATCAAAGTTTAGTCAAAGCAGTTAACAGACCACATCCCTAACCTAGGAAAAACTAGTTATATGTAAAGATCAGAAGGGAAAACTCTGACGAGGAATAGTTTTAGAAGACCCTAAAACAAACATAGGCCTAATTACTGCATGTAACCAATGAATATTTAGAATGTGAAATTGGTATTTCATCTACCTTTCATTCCATTTCATTCTGTTTCTTTATGTCTGACAAAGTGCACGTGTCCATGAATACTTACATTAAAATGTAATCAATGGTCTTTAAGATGCCACATGGTTTTCCTCTATTTTATTATTATTATTATTATTTCTTTGTTTCTTTGGATTTTGCTTGATCTGACTAGGAAGTGAGAAATCTGTCAAGAAATGTAACCTAACTGATAAGAAAGAAAGAAAGAAAGAAAGAAAGAAAGAAAGAAAGAAAGAAAGAAAGAAAGAAAGAAAGAAAGAAAGAAAGAAAGAAAGAAAGAAAGAAAGAAAGAAAGAAAGAAAGAAAGAACTTTCAAAGTCAAGGCAGAATGGTAGACCCAAAAGCTCCAGAGAGCAGTCAAAATCTGCAGAAAATAAAAAGTACATAAGAAAAGTGAGCTGAAAAGCACATGCGTTTCTGAGTCTCCTTCTACCAAACAACAAATTGGTTTTTGATCTATGGTTGCCTCTACTTTTCCTGTACTCCGATTGGCCACTTTACCTTCATCATTGAAATTGAGTTCTGTAGAGGGTAAGTCAAGAGAAAAAGTTCATTGTGCCACCTTTCTTTACTACCCTGGAAGTAAAGTACCACTTTGTCTTGAGACAAATGATGTGACTGTAACATCTTATCAGGGTATACTCTGGGCACTGAGCCACAGAAAATATCCAGTGTTCCAGCTTGTCCATACTGTTCTGTTGTTTTACAACTTGGCCAAAGACTTGTTTTCACAGCAACCTTGTATCTGTCTTTTTTTGCTCATTCAAAAATTCAAAGGTCCAGGCCAAGAGAAATCCATGCCCAAAGTCCAAACATGCTGTTTGTGAAAGCAACCAAAGATTTTTCCTCATTCCATTCAAAAGGTAACCAATTCTATTGCATATATATATATAGTCCAGTCCAATGTGAATACCCATAGCCTTTTCCCCCAGGGTACCCTGAGACTTTAAAAGAAGGACCTGGTTAACAAGTGGCTTTTCTTTACTGTCTGCTTTCTTCTCAATTAGCCATTAGCAACAGGTGAACAACAAGTATGATCAGAAGAGGTGTACACTAATACAGTGGTTCTTAACCTTTGTTACTAATTAGCCATTAGCAACAGATGAACAACAAGTATGATCAGGAGAGGCGTACACTAATAGTAACAAAGATACAATTATTTTGCTTAGGTTCATGGAAAGGCAGTTTTTTCAGCTCCACACCAGGAATTCTAATCCTGAAAAGAGATGGGGATGAAAAGGTAGGGAAAGGAAGGGGGTGTGGGGTAGGCTGTTAGGGTGGCTGGATGTGTGTGTGAGGTGGCTGCCTATCGGCTTCTAATTAGGTGATCGGTGGCCGGTAGGCAGAATGGGCTTCTGTGCTATGTGGTAAACTCTCTTGGGTGGAACCAATATGTTGATGAATAACTCAGATGTCCAATATCCAATCTTCACCAAACTTGGCAGGCGTGTTGGTGAAAGATATAGGATGCTCCGTTGTGAGTCTGGAATCTCTAAGTACCTGGGGAGAGCTTTCCTGGGGGTCCTCTTTGTGAGTATATAACTTGGGGATTCATGATGCAATGTTCACCAAACTTTCAGGAGTTGTAGAAAAGTGTCTGAGGAAGCCTCCCTGCAAATTTGGTGTTGCTAGTTGGTTGGGAGCCAGTGTTATAGCCATTTGAAATGCAGATGAATGGACAAATTGATTAGCTGATTTGTCAAAGAATATTCGTATATTTGTATTTGTTGATCTGTTAACCTTGACCAATAATGGATCAAAACAATTTTTTTATTTGTCCCCATCTCTAATCCTGAACATCTGTTTGTACACAAGACAGACAGACAGACAGAGAAAATCAGAGAGAATCATAGATATGCATGATTTATGTGGTTCAGTGGTTCCCAAGATGTTCTTAGACTACAATACCAGAACCCCTAGCCAGCAGAGCTAGTGGTGAAGGCTTCTGAGAGTTGCAGTCCAGGATCACCTGAGTTACCCAAGGTTGGAAACTACTCACCACCAGTTCCTACCAGTCATGTAACATCTATGAGGTTTGAGTAGCCGTTGCAATGTCCACCTTGAAAAGTCTTCACACCTATTCTCTTCTTAACATAGCTTGCAATCTAAGGTGATTCCACCATTTAAAGCACATGATATGGTGTCAGAAAATGTCTTGCGGTGTCAGTCAACCAACCATATAAACAGTCTTCAACCCATTTCCTTTTTTTTCCCCATTTCCTTCATAGGCAAATATTTATCAAAATCAACCTGTACCTCTGAGAAATGTAACAGTTACACAATAGATGTACAAATACTGGCTATTCTCCCATGAGGAGCAATTCAGTTATTCTTAGAGGCTGTAAGACATTGTTAACAATAGCTCATTTCCTGGAAACTGCTTTCTATAACCAGCTCAGTTGGCTAATGCTCAGATTTCCAAACCTGTTTACAACATTTATTGCAGTAAAAAGCTTTCAGTGATGACAAATAAGGGTAACATAGGGGAAGATTTATCTATGTAATCTATATTTATGTAATCTGTGGGGTAAGATTATAGTGGGCACCTTGTTTCCTGAGGTTTAGTAATTAAATTCTCAATAAAACTATATAGAACAGAACTGGGAATGTTAATTTTTTAAGAGGAACATTTGCTTTACTTATTACTTTTCGGCAGCCAGGTTGTCATTAGCATTACTGTTGCTCCAGTCAAACAAGAAAAATTGTTGCGTTGTGCATTATGTGTTCTGCTGTCATCATTACCATGAGTGCGCCAAAAAGGGATGTGGAATGCTCTGTGCTGCCTTCTAGTGGCCAGTTTTAATGCTGCATCTTGGAAATGTTGGTATACATGAAAGACAAAACATGAATGCTTCATTTGCCACTGAGGATTGAAGAGAACAGCATAAAACCTGACATACCTGTCAAAATAAGTATAGAAATGTCTTAAAATGTCCTTTAAAAGTAATTTTTGAATGAAGCAGGTGTTACACTTTAGGCCTAAAAAGTAACTTTGTAATTACTAGTTCTGTTTCAGATTACCAACAAAATAACTACTTCCATGTAATTACCTTACCCATAAATAGTTACTGCCAACTTCTGATATAAAAAAGGACTGTACTGAATGGGAAGAGGGAGTTTGCTGTTTCTTGAGGAGACAGCAACATAGTCACTCCTAAAAGGCTATCTTTGATCCACTTGTTGCAAGTAACTATGCAGTTACAAACCTAACCCAATGAGTGGGGGAAGGGCCTTAAGAGAGTTGTGCTGCAGGCATTTCAAGATGACACCCACATCTAGGACTAGATATGGAACCAAACAAGTTCATCCCTGTTCATCTCAGTTTGTTAAGGCGGCAGCACAGCTGGTGCTACTCCCTTCCCCGCCTCCTCTGATTTAAACAGCCACTCAGCAGGGTCAGCTTCCTTGCTTTTCTACCTCTTTGGCTAATCTCCCGATCACGAGCAAGAGCACAGACTTCTCTGCCCCACCCTTTTGTCTGAGTGGCAGATCAGCCAAGAGGGAGGGACAGAGAAGCCTGAGCTGTTGCCGGGACTGGAAGATCAGTTGAGGAAGTGCAGGAAGATAGCACGCTGGGCCTGGTGAGTGGCTGTTTGAGCCAGAGGAGGTGGAGCAGCACCACCTGTATGAACGCCTTTATGAACTGGGGCAAACAAAGACGAACCAGTTCATGCCCAGTCCATTCCAGTTTGGCTATTTGGCTTCAGGCCTTGTTGAATTTCTCTTGGTTGCTCTGATGCATGACCTTTATCAAGAATGGACAGGGGGACAACAACTCCTGTGGCTTCTGGTTGGTTCAGTGGGTTGAAGCCACTGTACTTCAGTTCTTAAACTCTTGCCCACTGAGATACTTCCAGAGAATGACATCTGGAAAATATTTTAGCCTCCCTGCTCTTTATGTTAGGTGATAGCATAACTCTCCCATTTTGAAGAGACCCTTGTCCAGCAGGCCAAGGCAAAGAGGCAGTCCCGAAACCAGCAAAACCAGGGAGCTGGACAGGGGACAGATTGTATTTGTCTTCAGTGTGGAAGAGATTGTCACTCTCATATTGGCCTTCTCAGCCACACTAGATGATGTTCCAAATCCTCTGTCCAGAGCACGTTACCATAGTCTCTTGAGATTGAAGGATGCCTAATCTAAAATTTAATCTAATTTAGCATACCATCTTGTCACTAGAAACAACCATTAGGAAATATGGAACAAAACGCCTTCTATATGCGAATGCCCCCCAGCTCTGTTTCTTTATTATATATTCCAGGTGTTGTGTTCCAGACTTTTCCAGCGCATTTCAGGAATAGGTCATGGTTGCTTCCAGTAGCTGCAGTGGCTTCCTTTTTAAAGATCATCATCCCCTCCCAAGAATGACTTGGAACAATGCTAGGTCTGGCTCATCTGGACAAATAAAATGTGAACCACCAGGAATCATTTCCTTTGCTTTCTTGTTTAGTCGTTAAGTCATGTCCGACTCTTTGTGAGCCCATGGACCAGAGCACGCCAGGCCCTCCTGTCTTCCCTCCTGTCTTCCACTGCCTCCTGGAGCTGGGTCAGATTCATGTTGGTCGCTTCGATGACATTATCCAACCATCTCGTCCTCTGTCGTCCCCTTCTCCTCTTGCCTTCGCACTTTCCCAACTTCAGGGTCTTTTCCAGGGAGTCTTCGCTTCTCATGAGATGGCCAAAGTATTGGAGCCTCATCTTCAGGATCTGTCCTTCCAGTGAGCACTCAGGGTTGATTTCCTTCAAAATGGATAGGTTTGTTCTCTTTGCAGTCGAGGGGACTTTCAAGAGTCTCTGTCTTAAGATTTCCTTTGCTACCAACACCTAAAATGGTGGCAGCAAAAAATGGGAAAGAGAGAAAATGGAGAGAAAAGTGGAGAGAAAATGAAACATTTGAATGACCCACTAAAGATATGGATAAGAAAATTAGACAGAGAGGCAAAGAAAGATACAAACAGACAATATATATATATGTCCCTATGATCCAGTTGTCCAATCGGACAAGTATCCTGCCATCCATTGTTTAGTCTAATTCTTTCTATCAAACTTCAGGTGCTTTTGCCCGACGAGGCTTCAGGCTACTGCTTTAATCTCAGTCTTTTCCCTCAGGCTGTTAAGATGTGCCTCAGTCTTGGCTTTTAGCCAGACCCCTTTGGGCATCTGCTGCCATTTCCCTCAGTCAGATCTCTTTAGTTACAGGTATCCTCAAGGCCTCTACCTTGATTGGCCCTGAAGCGTTAATTTCGTAGCACCCTCCTGGCTCATTAACAACACAGACGACACCGGACTTCTTTGTTTTATTTTAATCTACTTTAATTTACCAATACACAATTTGTCTCAGTTCTTGTGTCCATTCTGAGTTCGTTGACTGAAAAAACACTACATTTACTGTAGGCACAAGCCCTGTTTAACCAAAAGCATAAAGCATCATATTTCTAAGTACAAGCTGTTTAGATGCATATTTACTCTCATCATTCCACTCGTATTTTTAATGTTTTCCATAAAAGCACACAGAATAATTTAAAATATGTTGCATTTAAATATTTCTTTCTTGTGGTAATTTTTATGTTTTTGTGATATATGGTAAGCTGCTTCAGGGCTCTTTAGAACTGTGTGGTGGGGAGAGAAACCCCAAGGCACATGCAATTTCAACTGAGCTGTGAATATAAAAATCCCAACACAGTTTATACAGATTGTTTTTACCATCTTTCACAACATATAGTTGAAGCTAACGAAAAGGAGATGCTTCAAAACCACACAGGATAGTGTAATAGTTCCCTAAAATTGGCATTTAGCAAAGGATTATTTTTTTCATGAATCCCAAGAGGCTAATTCCTATTAGGACCTTGGCTAGAGTGAAGGCAAATTGGTGTATGACTTCCCTAGTTTGTTTCATCTCTCCAGGATTTTGGAGGGAAAATTGGCTTTTCATTTCACAACATGACAGGAAACTGCAGCCTCAATTGAAAGAATGACTGTTTTAAGAACAAGTAAAAATTGAGAATAAGACTCCCTGAAAAATTCAGTGAATACGTTTGGGCAAGTGTACCATAAAAACTTCATCTGAGAGGAAACCTTTGAAATCTGCTCATTTAAGACTTTCTGGAATTAAGGGTGGTCCCCCCCCCCAGTCTCAGTCACTTCAATTACTTCAGTGATCTTGAAAAAAACAGCTTGTATAGTAACATGACCTGTGAAGAATTCAAAATTAGAACATTATATTATGGTTTACAAGTACTGTAGATGCCATGCCTCGTATTTCACTATGCTCTGCTTCTCAGGTTCAGTTTCAATTTTACTGTATAATAAAGAAGCATGTTTCCTTGGCAGCAAATAATTTCTTCATTTTTCAGTAATTATTATGAGTACAGCAGGATTTGGTTATTATAGATGATGGCTGGTATACAGATGCAATTTCAAGTAATCTGAAAACAGTTTTACCTAAGTTATACCTCACACTTTTAAAGTATTCAAAATACTCGCAATGATTCTGACTGATTTTCTACTTTTTCTTGAATACCTTCTAGCAAAGGATGAAAAGAGCCCTAATAGAATATAAACACAGCTGTGTGAATTGCTGTTTACTGGCTGGCCGGCTACCTAGGTGGGAACCAAGCTCCAGTTTCTTATTTTCTTATTTTTATTTTCTTTTAAACATCTGACACTCATAGTTTGAAGAAAACGGTATGGATCCATCCATGAGTTTAAGTCAATGTTGTGATGAAGCAAGTAGAATTATTGTGAGAGAAGTAGGAGAGCATGCCCTAATTCAAAAGATGCTTCAGTGTTTCCATTGCATGAATCATCATCTCCATCTGATTGCTGTAAAAGCTGTGGATGGTTTAGAAAAAAACCCATCAGTGTCTTCCATTGATGTGTTATGATTCATACATTTTTAAGCAAGGAAAAGTCCAGGAAGGTCAAGTTCTGCCTTGCCTTTTGAAATATCATCGATCAAGTTGTTTGAAAGTTACCAGAGGTGTTTGTGCTAATTAGACAGAAAGGAAAAGAGAGCGAGAGATTTAAAAAAAAAAACAAGGTGAAAAGTGGATGGTTTGATGTATATTATGTTGCTCTAGAAGAGCAAATTGCTTCAAGAGCTGATGAAGAAGGTTCTCAAGATTCTAGACTGTGTTGATAACCCCCCAAAAAAGGAGTGAAGGACTTCATGGCTATTATCAATGCAGTAGTGAAAACAATTAAACAACTCCAATATCTAAACCTGTCTGTTTTCTTTGATGTTGTCATGAGAGAAGGCTAAATAAAACGCACATTCTCTGAATGAATATGAGTTGGGGGGAAATCACTGCCCTTCACTTCATTTGGCCTGGTCCTCACATATTCTCTACCAGTGAGTAGGGAAAAGGATTGGATAGTGCTATGGACCTCCACGTTCTGATATTCCTCACCTAGAAATGCAGCTTCCCATATAACAAGGAAGGGAAGCCACAACATGTGCATGAGAAGCAAATTGAATAGTTCTTTGTTTAAAAGCACCAAAGAAATATGTGATCCAACCTGAGAAAAGTTGCAATTTTGGAGCATAGTTTCCAGAACTCTTCCAGCTAGTGGGTCCAGGTCATCTGACCAATTACACTTCATGATATAACCCTTCTTGTGTCTTAAGATCTCCTTGAAAGGCCCTCCTCTCAGCCCGTCATCTTAACAGGTATGTTTGACAAGGACACAAGAGAGGGCCTTCACAGTGGTTACCCCCAGATTATAGAACGCCTCGCTTCTGTCTCCTGTCCTTTGGGTGACAGGTGAAAACTGGTCTCTTCATACAATCTTTTGGCATCCGATTTTAATATAGCTAAGTTCTGTTTTTTATGTTTTAAAAATTGTTCTTAGAGGCCTGTTTTAATATTATCTTGTTTAATAGTGTTTTAATGGCTCATGTATTCTGCTGTAATTGTGTTTGCTTGAACAATGTATGACCTGCCTTGCATCCTTTCACTAGGAGAAAAGTAGCATTAAAATGAAATAAAAACATAAAATACGCCTGGGATGCTAGCGAAAGGAAGAAATACACTTAATGAATGCTAGAATCATTTCCTACATGCCATGTAATGCTGGTAGGAGGATCTATTTGAAAGTCGGCAGCATTATTACTGTTTTCACTAGAATTAGCCTCTTTATGGCTTGCACAGGCAGTCAAATAAACTTCAGTGACCATGGCAGAATGGCTTGCTGTTGGTGAGATAATGTTATTCTACATACCTATAAGGTGGGGAGGGCAGGAAGCAAGGCTTTTTGTTATTATGTGCCTTCAAGACAAAGGTAAAGGTAAAGGTAATAGTTCCCCTTGACAATTTTTGTCCAGTCGTGTTCGTCTCTAGGAGGCGGTGCGCGTCCCCGTTTCCAAGCAATAGAGCCAGCGTTTGTCCGAAGACAATCTTCCATGGTAACATGGCCAGTGCAACTTAGACACGGAACACTGTTACCTTCCCACCGAAGTGGTCCTTATTTATCTAGTTGCATTTGCATGCTTTCGAACCGCTAGGTTGGCGGGAGCTGGGACAAGCGACGGGTGCTCACTCTGTCCCGTGGATTCGATCTTACGACTGCTTGGTCTTCTGACCCTGCAGCACAGGCTTCTGCAGTTTAGCCCACAGCGCCACCACGTCCCTTCAAGACATCTCAACTAATTGCCATCCTCTGAATGAGCAGCTTCCAAAATGTCCTGTCCTCAACTACCCTGCTCTGATCTTGTAAACTCAAGCTTGTAGCCTCCTTTAGAGAGTAAATCCATCATGTATTGGTTTTCCTCTTTCTTCACTGTAAATGCTAGAGTTATGTAGTTCTTCTGTAGTCATGATTTTCATCTTCTTAACAGTCAACAACAGTCTAGAAAACAAGTCTTAAGAACCTAATTTTGGATGTATCTAAGTGCAAACTAGACATGGACACTTCATATTCGTTTTCTGCCTAATCCCACCCTCCAGAACCAATGGGGCCACTTACTGGGCTCCATGTGGTGCTCAGCTCCATCATCGTTGTTGTCGCACTGATCCTGGCAGGAGCCCAACTGGCTCTTCCCCGCCTCCATGCACAGATGACCACTCATTGGCTGAGCAGGGAGACTCCCGGTCCTGCCTGTCTTTATGTTCATTTCTCTAGCGGAAAGAATACAAAGTGCCCATGTCTAATTCAAACTGTATAAACTGCAAAAAAAGTGTGTTTCTTTGGGTTGCTTTATAAGATCATATACTGTAATTATACCAAAATAATCATAGTTATTTTAATTTTTTGGCATGCCCACCTAGTATGCTGCTTATCATAGGAGTGGGCAAGGTTTGAAGGAGTGAACTTAAAATGGCCAAAAAATGGTTGTTAAAAAGAATCAAACAGGAAGTGACTATATGACTTGATTTGGGTCATTTTTGAAAAGACTTGGA